TACTTCATTTCAATGCAATCCAAACACAGTCTTGCTGAAAGTGTATGGAATATGTTGCAACCTCACGTCTGTCATGGCAGCATCAAGTTGGGAGTTTTCATAGGAATGTTAAATTCATTACTTAATCTGGTGTGAAAGTTTACGTATTGTGCATTTGGTCCTGAAACAGCTGCAAATTCCTAATCTGTTTCTGAAATTGTCAATTTGCTGGAGAAACCAACAAGGCCACTTTGACATGTGTCAAAGTCTGGAGTATTTTTAGATATGTAACAGTAATGTACATATAAATCTTAAGCTTTTGACTTAGAAATTATTTTCTGAACTTAGTTTATTCTTGAAACAAACAATAAAAACTTTTGGAGTTCACTCATTATGCTAAGCCATGATTTGAATAAGACATAATGGTTAGGCTCATATGGAACATTAAAACATAAACCATGATTCTTTAAATGAGTTCATACAAAATACTATGGCAAAATTAAGCAAATCACATTGTGTTTAACATGATGTATGTGTTCCTTCCCTCTTAATGATGAAATGAACTTTTTTCCTTAGAGTTTGGATTTATTTCTTCATTGGGGCTTTTACATTCAACTATTTAAGTGCACATTTTAATTCTTGTGTTTAGAAAAAAGTAATAATGCTCTCATTTACCTTCTTACCTTCATGTAGTATACAAAAAGTCAGAAGTACACTGGTTTAATTTTGTAACAACCATTTTTTTGGAGCCTCAAATGTAATTGACATGAAGGAGAGCAGTATGGGGAAACTGTGTTATCGAACTGGATAAAGACAATTGCCTATATTATTTACTACATCTTTAGGGCTGATTTTGCCTAAGCATACCTTTTAGTTTATATGTGTTAGATTACTTTCTATATCTTCTAATATAATCATAGAGAAGCTTTTGCCATATTATTTTAGCAGTCCTTAGAATGCTGATTATTAAATTCTGTACATTTTCTTGCATGAAATACTGAAGGTTAGTTTAGTTAATTTTTAGTTAATTTAGTTAATAATTTAGTTAATTTAGTTAATGCATCTATTTATATTTTGTTAAAAGATATCATATTGGGAAGTATTAAGTCTTATAGAGATTCTAATAAATCATTCAAGACGATTTACATCTTCCCATTGTTCTGGGAGACTCGTTATTTAGAAAGCTTCTGCCACCTGGGAGAGGTGAGACTGATGGTGTAGCAACCATTTTGCTGTCAAACAGAATATCCAATTCTCTTGATCCAGCATGAGGTCCACAAACTCAAGGTAAGTTCTTGAGAGTCTTACAGCAATCCTATTCTTCTTGAGGATATGGTTTATATAACTTATACAGTCAAAACTGAGGAACCTCTTCTCTGCTCACCCATCCAAGATTGAGTAATACATAACAGTTTAGTTTGCTCATCCACAAGTAAGCTATGGATGATAAATGTCATATTATGGACTAATTGGAATTAAGCAGCAACATTGTAATACTGAATGACAAATATATAGAGTCACTGTATGATCCAGGAGGAGGGCAACCAAGGACAGAATGACTGAGTGGAGAAGATGCCATTGAGGCAGCTAAGAGGTAGCAGAGACTGCGGGAGCAGGCAGCCCAGCAAGCGTGGAGTGGGCTAACTGATTAACCAGAGGGCTTGGTCGTATTAGAAGGAAATGGCCACCCTGGGTTTAGCTTGTGGGACAGTACTAGCAAATGGCAGGAATTAGGGAGGAAATTAACCCTTAAGATGAAAAATTCCAATTTATGTTCCTCCCATATTCCTTCTGTATACATCTGTTATTCCTCTGGTATTGTCAGGTTCAGCCCAAGAAACTCAGCGGGACAATTCAGGAACAGTTCAGTTACTTTATTAGCTTACACCTACTAGACAGAATCTCACCAGACTAACTCTAACTCCTAACGACAGCAACTAAACACTCTGAATTCCTTAGGGTGGTGCCAGTCTCATCCTCTTAGTTT